TATAACTACTTATGTGTTTTTATTAAATTAGCATAGTAACTAATAAATTGTTGATAACCTGGGTAATGGTTGTTTAGCCTCATTTCACGAAAGTATTAAAATATTTTTTAACTAATTTATTCATTCATTTTTTGAGTAGTCGTGGTATTCAGTGGTGGTGGTGATGGTGGTGGGGATAAGTGAGTGATCGGATGAGGTGGGGTGGAGTGGGGAAATGTGAGGATCAAAAGGTACAGAGATTAGCTGTTATACTCTTAGTATATAGTTTGTCTAATTAAAAGTTCTTTTTTTTAACTGTCTTTAATGAAGTAAATGGGGTTGAGATTCATTGTGATAGTCAAAGTTTGACATCTATACATTATAAAAGAAAAAATACATTGACAAGTTATATCATTAACTTGAAGAAGATAATTGTGAACCAATTACTAACAAGAGTATAGGGGGATTAGTGAAGAATGTATGATTGCCATAGTTTATATCACGAAGTGATCTCAATTAGACAACCATTGGAAACCAGGAAGTTTTGAACGGCTGTTTCTTCCTTATATAAGACTCCTTATTCGGCATTTAGCACCCAATATACCATCACAGGGGGTCGGATTCAGGACCTTCCGCTTCACGTGTAAACTCTTAACCGCTAAACCAATGAGTTAATAGCCAATGGTGTGCATGTCTAACATCAACCAATTCACGATACTGTACAAACTCTATCCACTGCATGCTATAGATAATTATCTCTCACATTACATGGTTAGAATCAACTGATCACGGCTTACAACTAATACTCTAGGAATCGAATCATTTAGTAAGTGAATAATGAGTACATGATTACAAACGGTATAGGGGTAGAGGGCGATCTATAGAGATAGTATAGTTTTTTATAAGTCATGAACTGAGGAGCTCCATACTAGGATGAAACGGCCGTACACCGTTTCAAGGTTTTTAATAGTCCTACTAAATACAGTTCGCTGTTTAAACTATGACAGTTACTAACAGTTAGAAAAACTAAAGATTACATTGAATTGTATTTTATTATTATTAGCTCTATTCAATATTGTATTTTTGGTATAATAGAGAATTCTCAACACAAAGTATTTCAAAAAGTTGCCTTTCCTCATTTCTTAATCCATCCTCATTACAAATATGGAGTGATCACCATTTAGGAATCAACATTTCAGAAGTCAACATCTGAATAATGTTCATTCTTTTCAATCCATATACACTGACATTCACCACTATGTCTCTGATGATTGTACCTTTTTGTAACTTGTACAGTGAAACGTCGTCAACTTTTCATAAACACACCTGAATAGGTAATTCTATTATTAGACATAATGATGTTTTAAAATAGAAAACAAACAAACAGATAACTTGATGAAATATCGAGATGGGAGGAATATGTGGCCCAGATATTGAAGCGGACCGATGAGTCCCAAATAGGACGAAACGCGCATCCTGGATTCCACTTCTAGCCACTATCCATCATTGCTTACAAAGCTTGTGATTCAGGCAGTCCTCACAAGATACTGATCAATTGCATTTATGACAAACATTTAAATTTTGTATAAATCCTTAATGCTAATCACATTCTCGTGCTCAAAATACGACATGACTATAAATCCAAGTGACTCGAAATCATGTGCACTATCTTGAGAAGTCAGATAGTAGTAAATAGGTGAGAGGAAAGCTTGTTGTGAGGTTTTATGCTAGCTGACACCCGTTACTACATATACTTCAACTTCATATATATGAAGCTAACCAGGATACAATAGAACTGGACAACATTGATAAACTCATCTCTCCTGAAAAAAAAATGTCACCAAGGTCATCAAAAACCAAATTGATGATGACTTACAGAAGTTTCATCACTTAACCTGTGTAAGTCAATATGAAAATACAATGAATATCATGGTAATTTAATCCAACATCTGTCATTTGTAAAATGTGGTCTAAATTCAGTGTACTGTCAGTAATCAAATGAAAACATTACAGTTAATGGAATATTGTAAATGATTTATTAAGAGTTATCCGATTCACTTCCAATTCACACTTCAATATTGGAAACTAGTATTAGAATGTTGCAATATAACTCATATAGTAATATTTAGACTACATCGATCGGGGAGTATTGAATGACTAATATCATGTATGTATTGCCTTTTAATGGTACTAATTACATTGAATATTGATGGTTCGCTTCAATATCTGGGCCACATATTCCTCCCATCTCGATATTTCATCAAGTTATCTGTTTGTTTGTTTTCTATTTTAAAACATCATTATGTCTAATAATAGAATTACCTATTCAGGTGTGTTTATGAAAAGTTGACAACGTTTCACTGTACAAGTTACAAAAAGGTACAATCATCAGAGACATAGTGGTGAATGTCAGTGTATATGGATTGAAAAGAATGAACATTATTCAGATGTTGACTTCTGAAATGTTGATTCCTAAATGGTGATCACTCCATATTTGTAATGAGGATGGATTAAGAAATGAGGAAAGGCAACTTTTTGAAATACTTTGTTCTGATAATTTTATATTTTACCAATAATGTAATATTGAATAAAGTTTTTCAGTGTGACCATTAGTGTCTAAGTGAATCGACATTGCGTGTACTATATATTCAGATGTTAATGATAGTTTTAGGTAATTGACAGGAAACTGTATTTTGGCTTAAATTTTATTCTATTCGGAATTTGTCAACAAGTTGTATCATTTGAACGGAGAATATCGTAGATAACAACAATAGAACTATCAAGGCATTATAAATTGTATACAATCAAGTACAGTTGTAACCAGGAATAAATTGGTACTTTAAACAATTATTTTGCAACTGGGTACAATTCGAAAACTTTACATTGTCTAATTGCACAGTAATGGTGAACAATAAGAAAAATTGACATAATTCCTAAGTCAGAAGGGGGTTCGGTGAGGATTTTAATAATTTTATAGAGTTGAAATCATGAGTCAATTGAAACTAGATCACCATGGAAAACCTGGAAGCACTTGGCGGTCGTTTCGTCCTATTATGGGACTCCTCAGTAGTGCGCGTCCACGATCCCGCCTCGTGAGATTCGAACCAAGGATCTACCAGTCTCTACTGAGAAGCAGTAAACAGTGAAGTTCAACCAGATCTGTTGGGAGATATCAACTCACTAATGACATTGGTGAATGGTTGCTCAATTTCGTGTATCGGTTGAAGTTAGACAATAACACCGTTGGATGCCGACCAGCTCAGTGGTCTGTCAGTTAAGTGCTCTGGAGCGAGACTGGTAGGTCCTAGTTTCGAATCTCACGAGGCGAGGTCGTGGATGCTCACTGCTGAGGAGTCCCGCAATAGGACGAAACAGCCGTCCAGTGCTTCCAGGTTTTCCTTGGTGGTCTAGCTTCAGTTGACTTACGATTTCAACTTTATAAAATAACTCCTAAGTCTTCAAAGAACATTAAAGGGAAACCAATTTCTCTCAGTTACATGGTATTCCCTCAGGTAATTATGACTGTTTAATGGAAAGAATTGAATACAACCAAATATTTACGTTTGTTATTTGTATCAGTATTAGTCTAATATCAACCAAGTTTGAAAACAAAATAGAACCATCTAAAATTGATCGATCACTGATTAGTATTGGCCAATGTCATATTTTTCCCAGGACAATGTTTGATAGAGAATGCTGGTAGGCGGCCTATACTCCTCCACGAGAAGTAGCA